CTATCGCTAAGGAAGTTTATTTTCTATACAATCGCTACGAATAAAAATGTACAATTATCGAGAGAGAAAAAGAAAAAAAACAAGGTTACTACGCAAATGATCGGGGATAGGAGGAACGGTAATGCAAATTACTCCACGCTCGTAGCAAGGAGTAAAACCTCGCGTACAGTACTGTCCCTCGGGTTGTCGCGATTGATGTCGTAGCTACTAACAAGTCTACTTTATCCTTACAAGACCGTTTTAAACGAGGTTCTTACGATGAAAATGGTTACCAAGCATCGTATTACGATAATTTTCAATTAGACGGGCAGTAGTGTGTGATAATTATCAAAGGGTATACCGTTTCATGGGTAAATGGAATACAACTACAGACGCACGAACGTCTGGGATTAGATCGCCGCTAGGATTAGAACGCCTACATTGCTATGCAATTACATAAAGAGTGTTTAATGCTTCGTATACGGATCGAGAAATATATACTCCGTAATTTCCGTCCTATCTATTGTTAAATTGGGTCTCGTCTAAACTAATTTCGTCTAAACACTTCGAGACGCATCGTTTAAAAAGAAAGTAAAGTCCGATGGAAGCTATCGAGATGTACATTCCACGATAATACGGTTACATATGCGTCGAAACACAGTTTCCAAGCACTCTCGACAAACTCGAGGGAACCGGAAACGACGGTGTTTCGCTTACCAGTTTCTTAACTGTGTCTGAGAGACAGTACTGTACCCCGGTAAAACTCGTCCATCCTGTCGCGGATGCGATCGATGGATCGCGGTTGTACCGAGCAAGACAATCAACTAGCGTTTCGCGTCAGTTTGGACGAGTTTCTTCCGACCCTGAAGCGCGGATTCGATGGAGAATCGTACGTCGATCGTCGCTGAAAACACGCGAACGGACAATGTTGTTTTTTTAGCACTGCAAAGTGTCGAGAGCGTAAACCGGCTGATTGCTGTGATTGCTCCTGATGTGCGTATAGACGTGCGACCTGTGTTTGCCGATGTACATGCAGTGCGGACACTTGAAACGCGGCTCCTTACCACACTCGTACTTGTAATGCCGTATCATGTGACTACGGTGCTTGTAGGTGCGATAACACATCGGGCAAGGATGACGGTTCCGATTATTGTAATCGTAGGCGCGCTTCGAGCTCTGACGCGCGTTCCCGGCGTTCGTCGGCCAATCTGAAAAAGAGGAAGATTTCGGGACAGTTAGTCGTACGATTCGAGATCGAGCTGGGGTGAATCGCGGCTTACTTGGACCGGAACTTCTAATTGGGGGGGTGAGATTTTTATTCGTCGGGGCAAAGAAGCGACGCGAGGGTGAAGATTCTCAAGTGTGGTTAGTTCTACGGTCACGTGGCTGGGATATTTGAGTCGCTTTCAAAAAGTAAAGTGGGGAGAACAGAAAGGCCGGAGGGAGAAAAAAAATTCATCGAAGGATGGATCTTGCCCGGGTGTTCTTTATTTTGTCGCGCGAAACAATAAATCGTCGGGGGTGGAAGAACTGAGTCGTTTGCTGTCGCTGAGGAAGTTTATTTTCTATACAGTCGCTACGAATAGAAATGTACAATATCGAGAGAGGAGAGAAAACAATTGTTTATAGGACAAGTCGGCCGACGAACGAGTAACAAGCGTCGATCGTTCCGTTCGCATGATCCGTGGTACAATTCTTTTTAAGCGTGATTTCGATACTACGGAACCACCGCGAGTCGATTGCTTACGTGACTAGTAAAATATTACAGCTATGTCCCTGATATATACATATATATATATATATATAGATCTTTTTAAAAAAATCAAAGACTCTTGCTTGCAGTCAGTGGCGAGAACCCAGCCGGAATAGCGCGTAAGCGAACGGGGGAACGCGTTCTATCGCACTCTAAAAGAGATTCGTGTTCGTTACGTGCGCCGTGTAGAGTTTATAAAAGTCGTTCGAGAGAGGCCTGGGAGTATACGCGTTAAAAAACGTTCCTAAACCACGCGACGAGCGTGGTGGAGAACTTAAAGCGATAACGATTGCACCTTTGTCGAAATGTCGCGTGTTTCGTGGACCAAGCTCAGCCCTGCTGAGTGTCCAGAGCGTAAACCGGACGATTGCTGTGATTGCTCTTGATGTGCGAGTAGACGTGCGACCTGTGTTTCCCGGTGTACATGCAGTGCGGGCACTTGAAACGCGGCGCCTTACCGCACTCGTATTTCAAGTGCCTGTGAAGCCCACGGTACCATTTGTACGTCTTCTGACACTTGGGGCAATCGAAGTTACCTCTGGACGCGGTGTTCACCGCCGGGAACAGGCCGCCGGTGTTGCAACGCCGCCATCTTCGTTCCGGCGCCATGGTCGTCGCGTAAGGCAAAGTAGTCAGGTTGAAGATCACTGGAAATTACACGGTAGTTTTCTATGTAAGTGAAATTTCCCCACAACAATGTACGAGGCTCGACGACACATATAACAGCGGTAATTTCATATTTCTCTCTGATCTCTCACACCCACACACACACTCTCTCTCTGTCTCTCCCTTTCTTTCGTGCTACGAGAGTCCGCTGCAATCGGGAGGGAGGGAACAACCAAATTCAGCAACGAGTGGTTTTTTTTAGTTAAATGGCGTTCGAAAACAGGCCGCTATCTTTCGATTCGGTCGACGTGATTCCGAACCTGGCGGAAGGGTACAACGTGAAGAAGCTCGACAACTGGCAAAACATTTAGAAGCATAATTTGTGTTCGTCGGCGCTGTTTGTGTGTCTCGCGGGTTAATCGTGTGGGATACGATCGAGTCTCGTTGGTCTTTATTCATTATCACTGTTACAAATGGCGGGGACACGAGTTTGTTCCGCCGCGGGAGCAAGTGGACCAGTCCACGATTTAAACTCTCCTTTGGTTCTTTGAAAAATAATATTTCAGAGGCTAGAAACGCTGTACTTCCAAACTATCGATAGTCCACTTGCTCGAATCGACGAAACGAATCCGTGCTATCGAGTGTACGAAGAACGATGGACGTCTTATGTTACGAGGTTCGCTCCAAACGTCCGTCAGTCAGGATTTCCACGTGTCATCGACGCCCACCTTCGGTCCAGCACCTGAAATCAAGATAACCGAGGTCGTTAGTAACCAGTCACCGACAATTCCAAACCGTGGAAGAGATCCTGTGGCCCGCGATAGACGAGATCCTCGAAATCAAATTACACTCGAGATGTTGGGATTCAGAGAACTTTATTAACTTTTCTCACACATGGACGAAGGACATGTTTTTTGTTTCGCGACTTCAGTAGAGTCGTTTAACGTAGGAAGCCTGGTCAGGATGGTACTTCCTGATGTGAGCGTAAATGTTCTGCGTAAACTTGGAGAGCTTCTCGCAGTAAGGGCACTGGTATTTCGGGGCCATGCCACACTCGTGGCGGAGATGACGCGTCATGTTTTTCTTTAGGGTGAAGCCGCGGTTGCAGCGTGGACAGTAATGACTCTTGTTCACCGAGTATACTTTCCGTCGTTGCCTGGGAATGGTCTGGCAATAACCTGAAAGATGGAAGGAACGAAGTTAGCAGGGGACACCGGGGTGGAAACGAACGCTCGTCGAAGCTCTTTTTCCCCATGTCCCGGAAGCGTGTGCACGTGCATCGTTCCGTGTCTTCGTGACATAGAAAATAAAGAGGGGGAACACCTTGGCGCTTAAAACAATGAAAATATATCGTTTCTATTCGCATCGACAAGGGGGGGAGAGGGTCGCTCAACGAGGCGTCGATCAAGCAAAGCTGGAATTGGGGGGGGGCGTTGTACCGAAACAACAATGCGTTGAGAGACTGATACAGAAAGACACATACGTATATATATATATTTTTTTGTTTTTTCTTATATTGCAGAACATGTGAAAGGAAAGAGAGAATTTTACACGGTCTTACTTTACACTAATCGCCGCTTCGGATTCGTCGCCTATTATCTACAGCGATTATCGAGCCACCGTCGTGTTCAATCGTTCGTACGAACGTCCGTCGTGTTCCCGGACACTCGCGAGGAGGGTCGTGACGTCGTTTTCTCACGTTCTACGGGGGTTAACCGGGACGAAGAGCTTGATGGCGTGCGCCTTGTATCCGACGTGCCGCGACCTGACGTGTCTGTAAATATTGGACGAGCAAGAGGCTCTCATCTCGCAGTAGGGGCACTGATAACGATGCCCCTGACCGCAAAAGTAACGCAGATGCCTGGTTATGGTGGTCTTCTGGGTAAAACGACATCCACAGTCCATGCACTCGAACCTTTTGCGCTCGTTCGGATGGTATCTATACCCGTTCAAGAGGCTTTTCATGACCGACGCATTGTTTAGAAAGTCCAGGTCGTTCCTCTTGCACGGATGTCCACGGTAGTCATCTGAAAAAAATCAACACACGCGATCGTTAATCAACGTCGATAGCCAACGGCCTAGATTTACACCGTGCAACGGGAAACGTTTCTCGAGAAACACAAGATACTCTTTTTAGAAGCGACAAGAAACGTTCCACGGAGTATGGAGGGAGAGAGAAAGAGAGATAGAGAGAGAGCGAGAGCGGTGTACGGAGTTAACAGATCACACATAAACACGCTGGATTACTATTCAGGGCATGATCGAAACAATGGGAAGGCTCAGCAAATATTCGTTTAATCGTCTAATGGTGTTTTACATTGTTCAGAGAGATCTCTTTCCGCGAGTACATTTCCTGGTTCGAGGCTCGACGTTCGATGACTAGAGACACAAAGAAGAAATTGATACACTTTTTTATATATTATTTAACCTACTCGAATCGAGTCCTCGATTTCCCACCCATCGATAATAATTCCTAACAGTCTGGAAACGTTTCGGGGGCATCGTTGTCGTAATCGATTCGATCGAACGCTTGCACGCCCGTGGATGGATCTCTTCGAACCGATACGAATAAGTCGAGGAAGCTAAAGTTTGGACGAAATGCCACCCTAGGCGCTTTGGATCTTTAACGAGGACTTGCCTCGTTTTGAGTGTTAGACTGGGAAGACGAAGGAACAGGGATGGACAACGTCTAAAGAGACCCATCGAGGGGATGTCGCGTGAAACGCGAGTTCGCGACCCGTTCAGTAGAGTTTATTGTAATAAACTTCCTTCCCTTGGTGATAGCGGCTTATGTGATACTTGACGTTGGACGTGTACGTGTAACACTTGCTGCAGTACGGGCATTGTATCCCCCGGATCCCGCACAAGTAGCGAACGTGATAATTGAGATCTTTCAGCCGTTTGAACGTCTTGCCGCACTGATTGCAGTCCAAGCTGCCGGGACGGTTAAAACCGTCGTCCCGTTTCACGGTACGAATCCTGCATTTCTGATAACAGCACGCGTGCCTCGTGTGGAAGATCAAGTCTTTGTGTTTGGCAAAGGTCTTGCCGCACTGCTGGCACTCGGTCGTGTTAGTGTCGTTCCACTCTGAAAATGAAAAACACAAATGCGACATGTAGCGAGGGATGCTCGAGCCTTGAGCCTCGACATGGGCCAACGCGAGTTACGAGCAGTTCGTCGACGATCTTTTTTTTTTCTAATTACAAAGTGAAGAAACTGAAGCCCGTTCGACGTAAGCGCAATCGTATATACCTACTGCAAGCGCCCAACAATCGAAATAAACCGAAGGGTCAGGGGTCCCGCGGATCTTGGGGGTTACAGGGGGATCATTGAAATAATTCGTACCACGAGTTTGAAGCGAGACAGCGCCATAATATAGTTTGATCGTTTATTCTTTACAGAATAGTTCGCAGTCGGATACGCTCTAAAAAACGGCGGCGTTCCGTTTCCTCGGGTGCTTCTACCTAATTTCTTACGTACTTTCTCGTCGTTCTGGAAAGTGAAAATTCTACAGAAGCGAACATAGGATTAGGTTTGAAACGTTCGAACGCGTCTATTTGTTATTTTTTTCTTCTTCTTCTTTTAAGATACATAATACTGTTGTTTCCGGAGCGAGTGGCGGACGGCTCAGAACATTTTGTTCACGCCGACCGGCAATTTAGGATGCCATCGTCTAATGTGCCTGTAAACGTTCGACGACGAGTTGTCCTTCTTATGGCAATAGGGACACGCGTATCTGGGGATCTGACCGCACTTGTGCCTGATCAGGTCCCACATCCTACGGAATCCTGCGTTGCATTTCGGACAGATGTAACTGGAGACTGCGAACTGTGTCCTCGCGTTCGGCCACACCATTCTCCTCACATCTGAAAACAATCAAGACGTTAGTCCTGCGCCCAGCTTCGACGTGCCGTAAACGCCGAGCGCTAACGCGGGGCGCCTCGACGCCCCCGCGTGTCGGATCTAAACGCGTACTAACTACTTGATCGACGCTGGTAATAACGTGCCAACGTGATGGCTACAGAGAAACATTTGCTCAGAAGAAGTGAAACGAAAATAAAAACAGAAAACGTTGCGTGAAAATGACAGCTTCACGTTTTCCGTTGCTCTCTTTATTCAGTATGCGTCCTCGTTCTAACTTAACTCGTACAATTTGGCATAGCGACGACTCCGTAACTTACATGCGCGGCTTAACAAGTACGATCGGTATGGCATCGGTACGCAATATCAAACGAACAAAATTAGCGAAACCTGCTTCCACCGGGGACTCGTTTCTAATCGTAAACCAAAAATAAACACGAATCTGTTCTAAGACTTTTCCAGCTTTAGAATAGCAAACTTGGTGATAAAGGGGATGTGTAACTGTTTAGGTATTTCAGTATCGAATCCCCGGGGTTTCGACCAACGCATGGTCTCGTATGGTGTCGCTCGTTCCGCAATTTTCGCGATTTTATTCAGGTAAGCGTCCGCCGATTGTTTATTGCTCGTGACATGATTCGTTTCCGTCGTAAATACCGAGGTGTCCATCCGGTGAGATGTATCGTCTAAAATACTCTATTTATCGGGGATCTCTTATTCTCTAAGATTGCGTGGGGTAGAATACGATAGGAAGAAGAAGTCTGTACAGTTTTCGAGACGCGACGACAAGCTGATCGTTCGTCGTGACGTCCCCGCAGGTACCGGATCAAAATGCGTTCGAAGAGATTTGTTTTGCATTTCTGATATCGCGCAAGCCTTCTCTGTATAACGTTTCGACCCTTTGAGTGCTGAAAATGGAACGAACTCGTGGCATCGATAAATAAAATATTAAAGCATGGGTACCAAACGAGCCATCGAGTTCGTCCAACGTGTACAAAGTGGGACATTCGAAACGAATCGCCTGAAAATAAGGCATTATCCTGGTTTTAAGAATTATTCAAGGAAGATTATTAATGATAAAAATAATGAAGGTACTCGAGTGGGCTGTTTTAAACGCCCCGCTTCGTATACGGTTGCAAATTTTCTGAATTTTCCACCTGCCTGCATCGACGTTCCTCACTGAGTGCACTCGAGCACTCAAAGGGTTGACGTCACGAGTGCCATAAGTGCAACACGCGTCCCCTGAATCTCGAAAATGAAATGTCAACGAATTCTCAACGTTCCCCGCGTCGAATGTACACCAGCTAACTTAGGGGCCGATGTAGATCGTCATCGTTTATCCAAAAAACATACTGCAAAATAAACTAAAAAATTCTCGATGCCCAACTGGCAGTAAAATATACATTTCCATGATTCCAAACGCCTCGTCGCTCCAAACTCAAATATCGAATAAATAGGAATATCCCTATAATCGCACGATTATATTATAAAAATAATCGTAAGCTGACTGTGAAAAATAATTCGAAAAGAAATCGAACACTTTAAAGTCGCAAATCGTACAAATAAATAAGAACTGAAACAATCAAGTAACTATATATCGCATGGATAATTAGTTACGTTGACGAATACCTCGCAGGTAATCTCGATCCTGATTGTTTGCAAATGATTAATTGGCGGTCTCCTGTAGTTTTATAATAAATAACCATAAGAGACCGCCATCAGAGCACTCAGCACGTTGACTGCCGCCCACAACATGGATGACAGGATTTTCCACCAAAGAATTAAAGAAAAAGAAAATTCAGGGATCCAGGCAGTCAACGCGATAGAAAAGTCGATCGACGCAATCACCGTCTATACGTACAAATACGTACCATACGAAAAAACAAAAGTAACTCTTTATTCGGAAAACTCGATAAAATAAATTCGTTAAAACTTCGTTTAAAAGAACGGTGGTTGAAATAGAATACTTGGGGCTGAAATTTTATTTAAGCAGGGTTCGTTGCTTGAATAAAAACTAGCCGAATCGTTCTAAACGGATGATCGACGTCTGCACCGGCCCTCGCCCCGCGATTATTTCACGGCGAGCGTTACGGAAACGGAAGATCCGAAGGAATTGCGAAGCAGAAGACGTGGAATACCCGAAAATGGGAGGAGGAGGAACGGTACGATTCTAATTTCTGTGCACGATCACGGGCATCCCATCGTGCCGCATCCTGACGTGCTTGTAAATGTTCGACGAGCACTTGTCCCTCTTGTTGCAATAAGGACACTTGAATCTTGGCTCTTTGCCGCAGTCGTACTTCATGTGGGTCTTCAAGGTCTTCTTGTAAGTGTAGCCCGCGTTACACCTGGGACAATGATAGGACATCCTGGTGGAGTGCCAGAAAGGGCCGTCTTCGTGCTTCACGTCGTAACGACTCGCCCCGTGGTCCGTGTTCGTCCTGGTGATGTTCAGGACGCCGGTGTCGTAGGGTGGCAGGCCTCTGCCTACGAACAGGAAAACAGAGGTCACGGTTAGTGGGGTCGAATGACCGGCGAGGACCGCGATTACGACGATCATCGACCATTTGGAATCGGATCGAGGGAACGAGAGAAAGAAAAAGGGGACGAAAAAGTTAATCCATTTCCGGCGTCCGTCCTCTGAAACGAAGGATGCTCGACGGAGGGGGGATGAGACCGTAAAACAGGGGTTTGTTCAATGAGAGCAATTGTCCTGAGAGGGGATAGGAAGACATCTATTTTGTTCGTTATACACGCACACGCGGCTGCTCACACTTTTAACTTGGTCGGTCGCAACGGGGCCCCGTAAACTGCGATTTCGTTCGATGGTCCGTGCAAACGCCCGAGATTCTCTCAGTAGAGCCTGAACGCCTGTATCCTGCTACCCTTATGGTTCGTCCTGATATGCCTGTAGGTATTCGAGGACTTCCTGTCCCGTTTACCGCAGTACGGGCACTGAAACCGCGGCTCCTTGCCGCACTCGTACCTGAAATGGGTCATCATGTTCGACTTTTTGCTGAAGGAACTGCAGCACCTCGGACAAAAATACCTCTCGACCAGGCACTTTTGTAGCGGCCACCGCTCGCTGGCGTACGCTGCAACAGAAGAAGCAGATCGCGACGCGGGTCAGTCAGGGGTGTACACAGCTGAACGAGCGACAAGACAGGACGAAACACTTCGAACCACTTCACACAATTTTGGGATTACGGAGCTTTTTAAGGAGCCTCAAACCAGTGCAACATTATCATCGAGCAGTGACACGAAACATCGAATAATCATTGCGCAACGCCTTCTTACTTTTTCTTCGGGGTACACATTTGCGTACCGCAAATGACTGACACACGCTTCGAATAGTAAAATAGACTGAACGAGTTTTATTGTTTCGTTTCAAGCAAGGTGTACAAAATCTTGTACTGTAAAACAAGAACCAGAGTACAGAGTGTTTTAAATGTGACGCGGTTCGATAGTCCCTCGATAAATGGCTGCGGGGTTGGGATTTTCTTCTTGGTGGATATTAGTCGAAACATTCGACCCTTCCATAACACGATATACTTGTAACAAAACAAATTTCAACAGCCTTCGGTTCAGTTTTGTTTACCAGGGTTTCCATACAACACGTGACGAATTAACCGTGTTACAGAAGGGTGTATTTCAGACACCATTCGATGAACGCATAATTAGAAATAGTCCGAATAGGTTGAAGAGAATGACGATGGGGTGCTTTACCTTCGAGGAAAGGAAGCAGCGTTTTATCGAGGGGCCACCGTGAAACGACGTGAGAAATAGACGAGGGACAACGGTGGCAGTTTCTTCGGGACTTTGAGAGAATCGTCGGCGTGGAATTCCAATCCGGAAGTTCTTCGTTCTCGTTGCACAGGGGCGTCGCAGCTTCCCTCCGCCGTGGACTTAACGCAAATATATTCGGTTGGGTTTAAAGAAGGGCATCTGTTTGTGGACCCTTCGCACGTGTTTGTAGACGTTCGAGCTGTACTTAGAGCCGTAATCGCAGTACGTACACCGGAAACGGGTCTCGTGGGGATTGCAATGGTTCCGGTAGTGACGTAACATGCTGTCGATCGACAGGAAACTGTGAGTGCAACGAGGACAGTGGAACCAACCATCTCCATTTGCCGCCAGCCTACCTGGAAGCACGGATTCAATATCAGAATTCAAACCCGTCGGACGAGGTCGCGATTTTCGTTCGAAATAATAGCGATCTTCGCATCCAAGACACCGTGAAATATCGTCCACGGGGTTTTAAAAATTTCGTCGACGTTCGTTCGAAAGTCGTTTCGCGAGGAGGAAACACGCCAGGGTGTACACTGTTTCCCGGACACCCGATCGAAATTTCCATCGACAACCGATCCAGCCTGAAAATAATCGCCTGATTACGGTGATAAATGCGACCAAGAGTCGTCCACTGATAAACATTGAACTCGTTATACTTTTGATTCATCTTTCAATGATAACAGAGCTATAAAAATGTGAGAATTTTAACTTTTATTAGGTAGATGATGCTATACTTTATGCTCGAGATAAGAAAGATCGCACCGTCCCCGAGTAACTGAACAGGAGCAGTCCCGATTGGCGAGCAGTTATCCGGGAGACAGTGTGTAGAGACAAGCAAAGCACTGAGTGAGATCGAAAACTGTAAATAACAGGTTTTATTATGTCGTTTGGGTAAAAGTGTAGCTATGAACAGGAGGAGGAAACAATTCGCTGGAATTGATCTCCGTTGTGGGATTCAGTAGAGTTTCAGGGGTGTGATTTGTGGTAACTTTTTGTGAGCGGTGCGAGTGTGCTTGTAGACGCTCGACGCGTATTTGCTCACGTATTCGCAATAAGCGCAACAATAACGCGGCACATCGACTCCACACGTGAGCTTGTAATGTATCCGCATGTACTTCTTCGATTTGTAATGCTTGAGGCAACGTGGACAGGAGAAGGTCTTACGATGAAATCCGTCGCCTCCACTCCCTGAAAAATTTAAAACGTCTGATCAGTAGGTCGTAGTTTGCCCCGATCTCTTAAAAGGTAGAAGAAACGAAACAAATCTGGAGCACGGATCCGGGTTGCAGGACGATAACAAAAATCGAACGTATACGCGGAGATTTCTTCCGCTAAAAAAAAAAGGAAAAAAAACGGTCTAAACGTGTAGAAGCTTGCAATAAAACAGCCGTTGCCTTTGTATCTGTGTCATGTTTTGTTCTTTTTATCAACGTGCTTGGAATCGTACACGATCTTATACATTTGGGTTTCGTTCACGCAATCCGTGGTACAATTTTAATTTAAGGCCAATCAAAAAACTTATGCGTACGCGATATTACATGTGTGCGCCCCCGCAAAATTAATAATATTTATATATCAGTCGTAAGATACTAATGACGACGGTACAGAAGATTGTTGTGCGCGTGTTTCTGTCGCAAAACAGCCAACAGCGTTCCCAAGTTCTCGAACGTTTCATTTGGATATAGCGTTACCGCGGTACAAAGCTCGTCATATTCGCAGTCGTGGCGCTCGAAATCTCTTACGAGAGTCGACGATCGGTATTTAATAATAATTATAGCAACAACATCGTTTATACGCGTGTACAGACCGCTCGTGGGCCGTCCCTGTAATCTTAGCCACGTTCCTGGCGATTAAAATCGATCCTAACTTATGCTTCTAACTTATTATCGTTCGGAGAGATCGATGATGTACAATTCACCATTCCTCGATCGCGTCGCTCTTCTCGTCTACTAACGTTCGCTACGGTCGAGAGATCTAAGTCTCGTTAGGCTACGTTCGTCTCAAGCTCGATTCTAAAATCGTTAATCGAACGAAAGCACGCCGGGAAGACTCTCGCTGATTCAACGCGTTCCAACCATTGGAAAATGGCTGAACATTACAAATCGAACAATTCGCGATCCCGTTTCTACGTCCTAGAAAATAATAAATAGTCGCGCACACCCTGTGGGGACATCTTGCACCTGTAAACGTTGGCTTTTTCCAACGAGAGCCACGGAACTTTCAATCGTCACGACCAGATTGGTTATTTGCATTCGGATATTGATCAACGAGAGGGAAAATGCTGAGGGAACCAAATTTATCGATTCCACTTCGTGAGGCGAGGACATTTAACTCGAGAATCATTTTCTTTGGCGTACGTTGCGTGAAAAGGTTGATGAAAAGTGTCGTTTCGATTGAAAGTTGCCGATCGTTCTCGTTGGAGGATCCACGCGCGTAACGGTTAGAAGATCGCCGGATAAAGCGTCGGGCAAAGGGCGATTCGATGGAAATGTTCGTAAGCTCGGCACGCGGAGGAACGTAAGTCCCGGGCTGCTAGAGGCGTTCAATAAAGCTTGACGAACCTCAGCTCCATGTTTCGGTGCTTGGCCCGAATATGCCTGTACACGGCCTGGGTATACTTGCTGCGCATATCGCAGTGAGGGCACTTGAAACGCGGCAGATCGACGCACTCGAGTCTGTAGTGACGACTCATGCCGCCGGACGTGTGAAACGTGCGGGCGCACCTCGGACATGGAAAGCCGCGCCGGTTAAGGGACGTCTGTAGCCTCAGCATGTGCCGAGAATTTCGAACGACACCGTGGTACTTGCCCAGGACAATCGGCCTGAAGTCTGTAAGCAGAAAAAGAGACGAGGATCTACCGTTAGAGAGAGGAAGTGAAAGCTGTGATCTCCTCTGAAACCGGAGCCCCGGTTATATCGGAGGTGTCGCGTTTTTTGGGGGATCGCGGATCCAACGGGACGCGGGCAGGCAACTTAAACGAACGATCGTTTCGCGTCGGGAACCGCCAAACGATCGACGATCGAACGCACGTTTCGAAAAGCATTTTTTTTTCTGTTCGCTTGAGCACACTCCAAAGGAAACACACAATTTCTCGTTCGCTGCCCGTGGCATTACGATTTCTTATTTATTGACACGAATACATGATCCACCCCCGCGAGCTCCACGGGGCTAGTAGAGCGTGGTGAGGACGACGTCTTGGCCAGTGTGGATCTTCCTGATGTGATTGTAGATCGAGTGCGTCCACTTGCTCTTGTAGCCGCAGTACTTGCACTGGTAACGCGGCAAAGAGTCGCACTCGTATCTGTAATGACGGTGCATCGAGTAACTGTGCGAGAACAATCTGCCGCATTTGGTGCAATCGTACTTCTTACAGTGCTGCAGCGTGCGACGTCCCGGTCGTTGCTGCGGCCGATACTCTGAAACCAACATCGTGATCCATAATTAATACAACTTCCGCGCACAGTTCCGCCGGTCTATCTTTCTTTTTAAGCGTTTAGAAACCATACAGGCACAGGTTCGTGTGCTTTACGGAAGGAAGAGAGAAAATAGCACAACATAGTTCTTAATTTACGTTTAGGATCTTTAACAATTCGAGGGCGATCAATAATCAACCTTGACTCTGATCGGAGTAATCGCGAAATGCAATATTTTTGTAAAAGAATTGGAGGCCTTTCTCACCTTCGGACCCTATACATGCACTTTGGCCAATAATTATCAGAAATCTTAATGTTGGCTCTCGGTTAATGCATTTTTTAATCCACTGCGCCGTCTCTTTAAGGGTATTACCCTACGAGATATTTAACACAGGTTCATCTTTGAAGGTGGAACAAAGTGAGCCAAAAAATGGTTCTTCGAGTTCTAATTTAAGACGCTTCCGTCTTGAAAGATAAATTATACGAATTCTGCAGGAGCTTTGGACGAT